CCTAGGTATTTATTGGCAACAGTTAGTTCCAATTTTCTAATCTTTGTGAGAAAACCTAGATCTATTGAGTGTGTTTCTGCAATTCTCCCTTTCTAGAGTGTTACTTTTACACATTTAACGATATCATCAGTGAAACATTTCAGAGTATTGAAGATACCTTCCAACTCATTGTCAAAATGTTCGAGATCCTCCCTGTAAAATAAGCGATTAGATACTTTCTTTTGTGTCCATAGTTATTACTGTTTAGTCCATACGAAAGGAGGGTTAAGGACAAACAGAACAGATGAGGTGACAGGGAGTCTCTTTGAAAGATTCCTCGTCGGATATTCAAGTGATCGGAAGTAGCAGTGATTTCGGTGTGATTTAGGCATAATTCGGTTCCACAATCCCATAATGCGTTTGGGAAAGGTATGGATCCTCTTCTTCTCCCCCCCCCCCATGGGTGAGTAGCAGGAGAGACCTGGTTTCATAGCATTGGATGGAAACTGGTCTACCGCAAAAAGAAATGGCAACCTACTGAGGGAAAAAAATCTGCCTCCTCAGTCATGAAAAAGATACATGATCGCCTAAGCGAGTATCACCCATGGCACATAACTGACCACAGATCGGGTTCTATAGCCTTGGATGGGAACTGGCCTAGCGCAGAAAGAAATGGCAACCTACCGCGGGAAAAAAAATCTGCCTCGACAGTCATGCATCGAAAGATACATGATCGCCTAAGCGTGTATCATCCATGGCATATAACTGACTGAATGTCAACGAAGAGCCTTTGTACATTTCCAAAGGATTAAGTATCTAAGAGTGTAGGAGACAAGTAAAGGCTTTAGGCTAATCTATCGAAGCTGTACCTTTTTTCTGCAATTTTCCAGGATCATTTTATTTAGATAATCTCCACACAAATCACAATACCTAAGGTTGAAATTAGTTTTTAAAATGAAAAAGCTTTCTTGAAGTTTTCATTTAAGCTTTAATTGAAAGTTAAATGATTAAATATACTATTCCCAGCAAGTAAAATAGTCTGATGTATTTCAAATCGAAATTATATTGATTGCAAGCGATTTTCATTTCTTTTTTCAGTAAAATCGATAATTCGTCCATTTTTTAGACATTTGTAAAAACACAAGTTAATTTTCGGTTTTAAAAACGTTGCAAAAATAAAATACACTTTTCTGAAACTTTATTTGAGGAATATTAGCTGATTTAAAGTATAATTAGTCTGATTTGAATCAAATCTTTAAGTTTAGAATACTGCAGAAATGCATTTTTTTAACTCGACGGTAGCTGTATTTTTAGCCGACAGAAGCTAATTTGAGATTTTGAAAAAATGATCACTAATGTTGTTCTAGAGAGACTTTATCTGTAAAATATAATTTTAAAAAATGACGTGAGCGCCTTTTTTTATTTAATTTTTAAGTACTCAGTAATCTTAAAAGTTTAGGAAAATAATCTCCGTAATTTAACGTCTTTTTAAATTTTAGAAATATTGGCATTTAATTAACTATAATCATCGTTCTTATTTTCTGATAATGCCGTGTATGGTCACCCATACTTTCAAAAATAAGCCTGATTATACACACACCGAAAAAAACTGAAAATACTTTTAAAAATATTGATGTTTGTGGATTTGTATTAAGCTTTTCCATTTATGTTTAGTAAATATAGTTTTCACTTAATAACGATAGTATCAAAACTCCTGAAATTAATACAGAATTTTAAAAGATTTAAAACTTAATAATTTTTCTGATTAAAATTAAGAAATAAAATGAAAACAATTCTTGTAAAAATTGATTACTCATTGACAAATACTTTTCTCTTAACACAATAGTGTCCTTAATATATTTATAGTTTTATTACATTTTTTTTTATTTTATGATTCAAAGTAGATCTTCGGTTAATAGTATTTCTGCTTGACAAAAACAAATTGTTGATTTAAATTCTCCAAAACAGTTCTGCTTTTAATAAATACGAAGTTCCTAAGATTTTAATTTCTCAAGATTTCATAAAATTAAGTAACTGGGGCTAACAGTATCTTTTACAAGATTTTCAAAAACAAAATATTTCTTATATAATTTCATTTATTTCTGAATAATCCTGAAAATTTTATTAAAATCCAACAATTACTTGATTCTTGCAAGAATTTTCTAAACAAAGTAATTTTTTAAAAAAAAAAAAAAAAAAAAAAAAAACGCTAAATTTCTCGTAGTAATCTTTGGTCCACCGCTGACGCAAGAAAAACAAGATTTAATAAAATAATAAAAATATTTTCGTTTTTCCTCTTAATAATAACATAAATATTTTGACGATAAAACTTTATTTTCATCAAATTGGGGGCCTTTCATCATCATGTTATACTCTGTTCTAATAAAAAAAAGGTGGAAGTACATAATTTTATTTATCAGCAGTTGATCTTTGCAACCACACGAGCCTTTTCGGCATCTCTTCTGTTCCAGTGGAAGAATGTCGTTTTCACTGAGAAAACATTATGAACAGATAGTCAGTAGAAACATGATTAATGTCTATGTGCTTGATAGACATATTATTAGACAATAACTTTTCGGATCATCTGTTTTTGGTAGGAGATATATAATATCTTCAGTGATCCATTCTGGAATTTCATTGGAATTATTAGTTAGCATTGATAAAGTTTGCGCAAGGATTTTATTGAATGATGACAAATGATAGAAACAAAAGTTGGGTACCTGGTCATTTCCTACTGAGTTTCATTTTTGGCATTTTTAAAAGCTTGCCTTACATTATTCTTGGTTAGATTTTTCCATTCTTGTACAGGTTTATCTTTCATTCTTTTTCGTTCTTGTTTGATCGACTCTGCATTGGGATTATATTCCTTTGTGCTGCTCCAAATATTCTCTCAAAATTTTTGCACATATCCGAGAAGAAAATGAATCTTCTTCTTCTTCTTCTTCTTCTTCTTCTTCTTCTTCTGCTGCTGCTGCTGCTGCTGCTGCTTCTTCTCGTAAATTTCTCGTAGTAATCTTTGGTCCACCACTGACGCAAGAAAAACAAAATAGAATATTTAATAAAATAATAAAAATACCTTCGTTTTTCCTCTTAATAATAACATAAACATTTTGACGATAAAACTTTTCCATCATGTTATACCTTCTTCTTCTTCTTCTTCTTCTTCTTCTTCTTCTTCTTCTTCTTCTTCTTCTCTTCCTCCTCCTCCTCCTCGAAATTCAGTCTTCTGTTCTTTCATCCGTTTCCCATTTCCAACCGACACACTTTTATAAACACACAGCTGTACCCAGAATTGTGTTCGAATGTCTCCACAAAAGTCTAATGACAATGCTTAAAACCTTCCTACTCTTTCTTCACCTTACCCCAGTGCAACCCCTGCCAATAATCTGGTGCGGCACCGGAAGTCACTTTTCACAAACACAGTAGAAACAATCCAGAAAAAAAATTCCCACTGGCTTCTATTGTAAACGAGCAACGTTTATATTTTTTATCCACGGCCCAACACATTTACTCATTTCTTACCGTTTTTTTTTTGTTTCATTCTCGATTTCTTTCTTAATATTTTTCTTATAACTAAACTATTTTTAATCTTTTTTTCTTTTCGGTAAAAAGAAGCAAAAAAAAGCGAGAATTACTGATGTTTTCCGTTTTCATTCGAATTGGACTTTGCCGTCCAGTTTTTTTTTTTTACAAAAGAAAACTTTCAGAGTCAGGCGTAAAAGCACTTAAATCGTGTAAAAAATTGGATTTTTTCTCTACCTTTAGAGAAGAAAAAGAATTGTTTTTATATTTTAAAAAAGTGATAGATAAAATAAATGAAAATTTCTAAAGGTTTTTGAGAAAGGAAGCGTAAAAAAAAAGAAATTAGACTACACAGACAAGAAAAAAGAAGGAAGAACACAAACAAACGACTTGATTGCCTCATAGACCAGTAATACTGTAGCAAGTTCGATCCTTACTGGGTATATCACTACCTTTATTTTCAGGTTTACTAAGATAAGTATGTATTGTAATTATCAACAAAAGATGAAAAATATTTAAAGAAGAAAGGAAGGACTGAAGGAAAATGATAGAAAGAAAACTGACGAATAAAATGGAAAAAGAGAAAGTAAAAATATATATTTATAGAACAGAAAGATAAAGAAAGACATTTTATGAAAAAGAGAAAGAAAAGAAAGAAAGAATGGAGGAAAGAATATTTTATAGAAAAACAAAGGAAGGAATAAAGAAAGAAAGAAAGAAAGAAAGAAAGAAAGAAATTTTATAGAAGAACGACAGAATTAAAAAAAATATATACAAGAGAAAGAAGATAGAAAAATAGTTTTTGTAGAAGAGAAATAAATATTTTTTTAAAAGAAGAGAAAGGAATAAAGACTTTTATGGGAGAAAGAAAAAAGAAAATAATTTTTATAGAAGAAAGGAAACGTTGAAGAAAGATGGATAGAAAGAAAAAATATAACTGAGGAGAAAGAAAGAAAGAAGAAAATAAAGAAAATATTTTTATAGAAGAGAAAGAAAAAAAGAAAGGAAATATTTTATTATAGAAGTAAAAAATGTAAGAATATTTTATAGAAGAGAAAGAAGAAACAAAATAATATTTGTAGAAGAGAAAGGAATGTTTTTTCTTTAAAAAGAAGTGAAATAAATAAAGAATTGTTATAGAAGAAAGAAAGAAAAACTAAGCAATTTTATAGAAAACAAAAAAAAAAACAACGAAAATCATTTTTATAGAAGAAAAACTAAAAAGAAAGAAAATAATTTTATAGAAGAGAAAGAAAAACGAAAGGAAGTAATTTTTTTGGAAGTAAAAGAAAAATGAACGAAAATCATTTTTATAGAAGAGAAACAAAATAATTTTATAAAAGAGAAAGAAAAAAGAAAATAATTTTATAGAAGAGAAAGAAAAATGAAGGAAAATTATTTATAGAAGAGAAAGAAAAAAGAAAGAAAATAATTTTTATAGAAGATAAAAAAAGAAAAAAAGATTTTTATAGAAGGAAAGAAAATGGAAAGAAAATAATTTATAGAGAAAGAAAATAATTTATAGAAGAGAAACAACATAAGAAGTATTTATTATAGAAGTGAAAGAAAAAACGAACGAAAATCATTTTTATAAAAGAGAAAGAAAAAAGAAAGAAAATATTTTTCATAGAAGGGAAAGAAAAAAGAAAGGAAGTAATTTTCACAGAAGTAAAAGAAAAACAGACGAAAATCATTTTTATAGCGGAGAAAGAATAAGAATTATTATTATTTTTGTACAAAGTGAAAGAAAAAAGAAATAAAATAACTTTTGTAGAACAGAAAGAGGAAATGATTTTTTTTCTAAAAAAAAAAAAGAACATGAAATAAAGAATTTTTATAGTAGAAAAAAAGAAAGAAAGAAAAAATATTTTTTAAAGAAGTGGGAAAGAAAGAACGTTTTAATATAGTAACATGAAAAAAAGATCCGAATAGATGAAGAAAGGCAGAAGACTATGAAAAGAAGAAAAAAGAAAGAAAAATGAACAAAGAAGATAAGACAGAAGAAAAAAAAGCTAAGCAAGAATAAACATTATCGATGTGAAAATATTTTATAGAAGAAATATTAAGGAAAATGAAAACCAAGCAATATTATCGAAAATGAAAGAACCCAAAAAATGTAAATATGGCTGACAAATGTGAATAATTTTAACGCTGACAGTACTGGAAAAATAAATACATAAATAAATAAGATTTCACTTTATTTTTTATTGTTCAAATTGTCTCATTTTGTTTTCGGTTTGTCATCATTTTCATACCCCGACATTATTATTCTATTAGCCACTGTTCATTTATTTTTTTTCTTTTCAAATCTCCCTTAAAAGCATCTTCCAATATAAAGATATCGAAAATATTTGAAGTCGAATTTTATTCCCCTCACCGCTAAACTTACACTCGTTTTTTTATTTTTTATTTTTTATTTTTTTCGCATTTCAGGTTCTTCGTAAATATGGCACAACCACAAGCAGAAACTGAGTGCAAAGATTTTGACCACCAGAAGGCAAGGAAATGACAGAGTCAGGAAGACAGACTTAGAAAGGTGAAGATTTTAAGGGTTGGTGATATAATAATTACATGGAGAATATATCGATAACACCTAGCCGGAAAGAAATCTAGACGTTTTATCGTAATTAAGGAATATCTAAATCTGCAGATGACACAGATTTCATGAACTGCTCTGTTAACACTTTTCAGCTCACAAGAAAATACTGTCTCTACTTTTGACAAGAGCCTTTATCATTCAATTCTAATGTTTCGGCCGATCCATTCTACAGCCTTCACCAATTCTACCCCCTCAGACACACTGCTTATTCGGTGTAGTACGCTTAAGATTTTCCAAATCATTTTCTCGGCGGCACAATTATTCAAACCTACCTTTATTAAACATCTAAAAACTCCCGGCGGAACGTTTATTTGAACCAACATGTATAATTTATAAGTTATGACAATTCCAGATTGTATAGAAGACAACTTCTGAAATTTTCAAAAGAGACATTCAGGCTACAGAAGTCATTGATTTTGTTGCTACTGTAACATTTCGGCCGATCCATTCTACAACCATCGTCAATAGTGAAACGATATGTATGGAAGTTAGCTTCGGGAATTTTTTGAAGTGGCACTTATAATTCCAATAACTGATCGGACTTCTAGACTCGTTCTTGTTCACCTTCTTTTTTTTTTTCTTTTTCTAATATTTCAGCCAATCCATTCTACAGTCTTCTTCAAAGGTAAAACAAAGTGTACTATTCTCTATCAAATACAAGTGCCGGCATGATTAAAATATTTCCTTTCATCCCACCCCCGACACACTGCTTATTTGGTAAGGCACGCTTATAATTTTTTCCGCGGCAAGATTATTCTGACCCACGTTTATTAAACATATAACTATCTGAAGCAGTACGCTTATTTTTAAAGTTGCAGTTTCCAGACGGTACTTGTTTTTTATGGTTTCAATGGTCTGACCGGTCGTATGTGGGTGTACATCTTCATGCAACAAAACTTTCTTCGACAATAGGCTTCTGTGTTTCGTGAGAATTGCTGGCTTCAGACTGTTTTGCCACAAAAGCACTGTATCTTGCACTTTCGATCGTATACCCCTTTTCTAGGCAGTCTTCTAGTATAGACCCTTTTGCGTCCCCCAAAATGTTCCCGCCGCAAATTGAGTCTTGAATTTGTTCATCGTTGGCGAACCAGGAAGTTTCCACTGTATAGTCTGTCAATTGGATTCTGGTTCATAGAATTGGACCCACGTTTCATCTCCAGTTACAATTCTGCTCAAAAAATTCTTCGCCTCATTGCAGCCGTCAAATAAACGTTGACGGACCTCAACACGTTTGTGCTTGTGCTCTGCGGCAAGCGTTCTCTTGACACCCATCTGGCACTGACTATGGAAGCCGAGCTTGTCACGGTTGATTTGTTAAGCAGAACCATGACTAATCGGCAGAGAACATCCCACTTCATCGATGATAACTCGCGAGTTCGCCATTGCCATCTCTCGAGTTTGCTGAATCTTCTCGCTAGTGGTGGAGGATGACGGGTGTCCAGCTTCTTCTTCGTGTGTCACGATTGTCCGTCCAATTTTAAACTTCTCGATTCACTCATACACACTTCTACGCGGTAGTGCACTGTCAGCCTCTGACATACCTTCAAAGCAACAAGATGGCAGCAAGAAAACCAGAGCGATAAAACTCAAACATCGATCACGTGACCACAATAGTACCAATTATAAGCACGCATAAGCAGAAGGCAGTGTGGCAAACATAAAGCTGTGTTATGTCAAAAGTGAGGATAATTTTGACTTACCCTTATAGATAGATAGATAGATAGATAGATAGATAGATAGATAGATAGGAACAGACTGAGATAGCTATTTTAACTGAGATAGATAGATAGATGTGAATGAAATAGATAGATGTGAATAAACTAAATGGATAGATATGAACAGAGATAGATAGATAGATAGATAGATAGATAGATAGATAGATAGATGTGAATAAAATAGATTTGAATAAAATAGACAGATATGAACAGCTAAAGATAGATAGATAGATAGATAGATAGATATGAACAGCTACAGATAGATAGATGTGAATAAAACAGATTGATAGGAACAGACTGAGATAGCTAGCTATATTTAACTTATATAAATAGATAGATAGATCTGAATAAAATAGATGTGAGTAAAACAGATAGATAGATAGATAGATATGAACAGCTACAGACAGATAGATAGATGTAAACAGACTGTAATAGAAAGATACGAGAGTAAGTAAAAAGAATATCCGCACTTTCCTCATAATATATCGTTAGACTTTTTCACACTGTCTTCTGATCGAGCGTGCTTATTGTTATTGTTGTTGTTCACGTGATCGAGGGGTGAGCTTGATTGCACCATTTTTCTTGCTGCCGTTAAGGTGTAAAAGAACGGCGATCCGACTTTTCTGGTCGGAAAGTGTGCCAGGAGCTGAAATTCATCAGAGACTTTTAACACAATACGGCGTATAAATGTATATAAGTGAATCGGGAAGTTTAAAAGTGTCCGTTCGATAAAAGAGATTCAGAAAGCTCGGGAGATTGCAAACCGACGAGTTCTCATCGATGAGGTACATGCAGATTTGGGTCAGTGCTTTTGTTTTTTCTTGGGGCACACTGCTAGCAGAGCGGCTATGTTTACACTGTAACAGCAGCAAGAAGAATGACGTGATCAAGCCTAAACATCGATCACATGACCACAACAATACCAACTATAAACACACATAAGCAGAAGGCATTGTGGCAAACCTAAAGATATATCATAGCGAAACGGCGGCTAATTTTTGACTTACCCTCGTATTAGTAAAGGTGACGTCATCAACAGTAGTCGTCATCAGCTAGTACTCTAACGATTCAACGTATATGTTGATAGATATAGTTACCATATACTAGTTAAAAGCTAATTATGTTATGGGACGCATCACGCAAGCACAAAAAAGGTGAACCTTGTTCTCTCAAATCGGGATACACATTCAAACAACCTACATGGAATTCCGAATTGAACCCTTTATTGAATCTACACCAGTAGACTGTTCTCGTCCCACTGCACATGTCTAGGGATATCACGTCTAGTTCTTATGTTTAGTACTGCTCAGCAGTGAGGGGCGAGAAAATGAAATCAAGCATGGCTGATCATATATGGAGGGAAAATGGTAGTCCTCAACCTCTGTGGAATGAAGTGAAAATACTGGACATTGAAGAACACGGGAGAGTTAGACATCTGAAAGATCAGCGCATATGATATGCTATGAGGACCTTCTTAGTAGACCTAGCGTAGAAATAAATACGTTATGGGAGGGCGTAACAAAGAAAGACAGGTATAAAGCGAAAATGCGTTTCATTAACTTCAAGCAAACACATCATTAAGACATATATAAACTATATAAAATATATAAAAAATATATTAAAACTATATAAATTCCCATAACATGTGTGTATAAATAACCATAACATGTGTGTGCGCGAGATGAATGCGCGTGCGTGTGTAAATTCTCTGTCTCCATTACTGAGCACACTTTCCATATAAATATAATAATAAAGGTGGCTTGAGGAGTTGCCTTGGGTCAAGAGGGTGGCTGCTGGAAGACCAATATGTCTGACAACAGGACTCTGCACCATGCCACACAAACAGGAGAACCCAGTCATGGTTGTCAGATAATTTATGCGACCAGATCACCCCTTACATCTGGCCACCTAACACCCCAGACTGCAACCTCCTTGATTATTATGTGGGGGGGGGGGGCAGTTGAGCGAGAGACCAACAAAACTCTTTGTCAAACCAAAGATGAACGAAAGGCAAATTATGGCAGCATTCACGGATTTAAACACGGAGGCCGTCCTGATGAAATGCAGGAGATTCAGCAGTCGCATGGAGGCCGTGGTTGAAGCCAATGGCGATTTTGTGGAGTAAATTTACTCTTTAGTATTACAAGATATTTTTATGTAATTTTGGTAAATATATCTGTCTTTAAAATGTGATGTTGTTTATTTTCATTTTTGCGTAATTTATACGACAATTTACCCATCGCAGCATATATATATATATATATATATATATATATATATATATATATATATATATATACTGTCTTCCAGCAACCACCCTCTTGACCAAAGGCAGCATTACCTCCTCAAGCCACCTGTTATAGGCCTCCGTGTTGAGTCTGAGGCTCTGTGGAAAGATGAATGGAGGCATAACGTCGCCATCACTATTGATCACGGCAAACACCTTCGTAATCACTATTAGACTCACCCAACTCTTTCCCAATCCTTTTCATTGTCTTCATACTGACACCCAAATACTGAAGTCTGCGCATTAGAGCTTCCGGCCAAGCAGTACAGAATGACGTTTCCAAATTTATGGCGGAATAAATTGCGCCATGGTGCTCTTCTTCTCAGAAACGGTGCCCAGACTTAATCCATTTCAATATATAAGTATATATATATTGTTTAAAATTGGGTATATTTATGAGAGAAGAATGCTCAATTGGTCAATACCGGATATATATATATATATATATATATATATATATATATATATATATATATATATATATATAAAAAGTTTGAACATTGCTTCTTGACTGGTTGTTTCACGCCTTAAGTGATCATCATCAATTAGTTTAATCCTCAATTAAGGCGAGAAACTAACCATGTAGTGCTAGTTTTCTATGTCCCACTTTTGATATATATATATATATATATATATATATATATATATATATATATATATATATATATATATATATATATATATAACTGTATAAACTACCACCCCAGATTCAGCAAATGATGAACTTGATAGAAGGGTGAAAAAAAATGAAGAAGAGCTCTTAGAGTCATTGAAAAAAGAACGGAATCAACTATCAAACTTTTGCAACGAATGCCAAAAATTTGTGCTACAGTTATGAAGACTAAAGGAAGATATTTTGCCGAGAGCAAGATTTAATCATAAAATGATTTTCCTCTTTTTGTTATAGTAAAATTTCTAATAAAATAATTATGTTTCACTTTTTTAACCATGTATAATAATTTTTCCTTATTTAAACTACAAATCAATTTCTTTTGAGGTCAATTTAAAAATTACCAGCAGTGGACTAAAAATTTGTACTGTAAAAATATATATATATATATATATATATATATATATATATATATATATATATCAAGTGTAAAAAGCTAGATTAGTACCAATGTCCAGACATTATATTTTTTTTTTAAAATACTCAATACAAAGTTGAGCTTAATAATAAGTTGGACCACACCGCCTAAAAAAGACACACACAGTGTCGCAACACGATTGCATTTATGTAACGTTATAACATGTTTCTATTAACATATTATATATATATATATATATATATATATATATATATATATATATATATATATATATATATATATATATATATATATATATATATATATATATATATGTATATATATATATATATATACATACATGTATATACATATATATATATATATATGTATATATATATATACACACACATATATATATATATATATATATATATATATATATATATATACATGTATATATATATGTGTGTGTGTGTGTGTGTAAAAATATAAAAACATGAGAACTTATGTATCGTTGGAATCATATTTTTTTAAATAAATAATTATATACATATATATATATATATATATATATATATAATTGATGAATCCGTGAAAGTGCATGAAACTGGAAGTCGTGGTCAGTCACTGCCTTCATGGAATTTGACTTAAAGTACATACACACACACACACACACACACACATATATATATATATATATATATATATATATATATATATATATTTGTCGAGGGGGGGGAAACGATATATACATTTTATATATCAGGAAAAAAATTAGGGAAAACTATGCCAAAAGGAAAACTTTTGTGACTTTATCGGCTAAAGTCATGTTTACGTTGATGCAAACGTTAAGAAGAGACGCTGAGAATTTTAAACTTAAATTTATCTTTTTGGTTTAAACATGTCTCTAGGTATATAGTCTAGCCAATTTCATTGAGTTTCTTCTTATATTTTTATCACTTTTGTTATTAAATATCCCACATTGTGATAATAAAAAGATCTACCAAGAAAATGACGTATTGCAAGAAACTAGACACAATTTTACTGTGGTTGATCTAAACATTAAAGCGCTTTCTATACGTTTCCGTCTTAATAAATTACCTTTCTCTTTTAATTAGAGGGACATTTTAAAGAAATATTATGATCAGATTATTTACGTGATCAACTAATGCATTGAGTGTGTTCTTTTGTAAAAGATCTCTTTTGCGTTGATATAATCTTTTATTCAAATTCCTTCAG